GGGAAGCAAGAAGGCAGGGGAGAGTCAAAGAATTACAAATGTCAGGATTCACATGGAGACATCAAGCTGAGCATCTCTAACAGCACTTCTGTGAGGACACTGAAGACATGCAAAGATGTGGGGAGGCTGCCCAGTGGTGGCTAACATGAAGATGGGTCAGGATGTGAAAACCAAAACTGTTCCACAGGCACTGGGATTCCCCTCAAAGGTGCCCTGTGCAACAGCTGATGATGAGGGGTTCATCCAAGGTGAGAATGTCACTGATTAGAAAATTCCGCTATCTGGTGGAGCCTTGGAAGGGAAGGATTTACAATTTACAGGCTACTGGATAGATGGCCACTTGGTTTAATTCCACACAAGAGTTCTCAGCATCTTGTGTACATGCTATCCTCATTCAGAATGATGTAACTGGCTTCCACCTCAATTTCCCCAGCCTTCGCCCACCAGGCCTACAGTTTCTGTATTTTTGGCACAGCACAGATCTAGCTGCAACCAAGTCACTCCCATCATGTGGTCCTGCACAGCTCTAGCTCACAACTCTTGGACAAGGTTGTTGAGGGAGATCTCATTATGTACAATACCCATGCTGGCATTAAGCCATTGCTTACAGATTTCTATGAAAATAAAGAAAAAATAAATCCACAAATGCCCTAATACCATTACTCAGCTTCCCCACAGTGATCCTGAATGCTGCTGAAAGGAACACCATGTGCAGCCATGCAAGTAGAAAAGCCTGCATGAAACCAGGCGAGCTCTAAAGCTGCCTCACTCCAACATGTGTGTGGAACAAGCAGCAACCGAAATCACTAGTGGTGACATTGTCTGCAGCTGGCTTATCAAGCTACTACCAAGTTTCTTTAGATGATTTTTAGATAGGCTATGCTCAGCAAAAAAAGCACAATTTCAGAAGCGGAAAAATGCTAATGGGAACGAGATAGTACTGCTTCATAGCATGAATGTTACATAGGGAAATGAAAGGATAAGAAAGATAAAATTCAAGAAGAGAAAATGGTTACCATGCTTCAGATCCAAGACACAGTCATACATACATATATATCTCTGCTCTTTCTTCCTTCCTCCCTGTGTTTTCACTAATCTTTTCATCTGCTTGATATATTTATACAGTTCTACAGAAAATTTCAGAAAAAGTTACCAAAAATTCCCAATTGTTACAAAGATTATGAAAATCACACATGCATATATTTGGAGTCTTCTCTCTCTAAATTTCACATTAAAATATGCAGGGCTTATCTGCTCACTGAAACACAAATGATGCTAACATCTTCCAATCTGTGGTTAACCTGCTGTGAAGAGTAAGGCAACACAAAAGATTTTTTCAGCCATATTAGGAAAATATTCTGGCAAACACTCCTGCAAGTAAATCTTTATTGTGTACCCATGATTTCAAGGACACAGAGGACTGTGTCAAGGTTCTCTTTTATGAGAGCAAAATGAAAATAAAATATCTAATAGTGCTCAAAAAGGGAGTACCATCCATCTTGTTATGTATGTAGAGAGAAAAAAATAGTATATGAGTGTATAATCTAAAATTCTATCATTATATAAATTCATTGGAAGAGTAATAAAGGTTGTACAGGCACCATTCTTCTTTGAGTTTTGAAGACTTCATCATACAGTCTGAACAATAACTTTTAGCCTAAGATTTGGTGAGGACGTGAAAGTAACAGAGATGTAAACAAACTAATAATGAAGTAGTTACTGACTTATTTTCTAAAATTTCATAGACACAAAGAGATGGGCCTATAGAAGGAGTAGAAGCCAACAAATATGAAAAAGATCAGCTCCTCTAAATAAGGTCCATTACATTTCCTAATGACAAAGGCTAAGTGTAAACAATTCTCCCAAAATTCAATAGGAGAAAAGATTACTTTTCAGGTTATTTAAGAAAACTAAACAAGGCGGCAAAGCCTCCCTGCCTGTGCAGCGGAAACACATAGCACAGGCAGAGAAAAAGAGATTCATGACCTGTTCCCATCTCTGTGATTCACATTTCAGTGTCAATGCAGTTCATTTGCTTGGCAGCAATTGTCTTCAAAGTGCTGTACATTTTTTTTTCCATCACTACCTCTCCTTCTCCCTTGTCTGCAATGGGGTAAAAAGTAAAATCTTTCCTAATACATGGAGAAAACAATAAACACGGGAAATGAACAAAAAGTCTTCAATTATCTGGCCATGGCCAGATAAATGTCCGACAAAAATGGGATGAAAGCCACAGTTACACCCCACTGTTATTTAGAAACAATTCAGGGGTGTTTTGCTCAGGAGCACATCCTTACAGCCTGTACAGCCACAGACCTGGAGGTAGCCTGGCCTGCAAACACATTTTAATGTCAATCAAGGAAAGGCCCAAACTGCGAAAGAAAATAAGTCCTTGCTAGGACATGCTGGAGTTTAATTCATGCTCCCATACAATTTATGTGAAACACAACATCAAATAGTGGCAGTCAGTGGAACAGAAATGATGTATGAGGTGTCTGGTAGCTGCTCCTGTACATGCCAGGATTTGACATGACAGTGATTGCCAAGCAATTTCTTGCACCGCTTTCTCGGCACTCCCGGCCCCAGGAGCCCGGGAACTGCTTCCCGGGAGAGACCCGAACTGTCATCCTCGGCGTCCCACGTTCCCCAGGCCTGGCAATCCTCGCCGGCTGCCTTGGAAAGGGCTGCGGGCAGTCCCGGCCCCGGCCTGGGTTACCCGGGGATGGGGCAGAGGTTCCCGGCGGCGAAGGGAGCGGGGAAGCGCTGCTGCCACTGCGGCGGCAGCAGGGAAGCGAGAAGCGAGGTCCCTCCCGCAAGGGCGGGGGAACCTTCCCACTCTGCCGGCCGCCCGTGCTGCTGCTTTAGCTCAGAGAACAGGAAAAACCAACTAAACACAAGAGACAGACGCCGGGGCGGGTTCGCTGCCTACTGGGCGTGCCGGGCGGGGGATGGGGAGCCGAGCAGAGATGCTCTGTGTCAGCGCAGCCCCGGTGTCACGTCCCTCCCCGCGCAGCTGAGCCCCGCCGAGCCCCGCCGAGCCGAGCGCCGGTGCCGCCCCGTGCCGGGCAGGCACCAAGGGGTGCGGCGGGGCCGGGCGGGGCCGGCAGCGAGACCCTCACGGCTCCGCGGGGCCGGGGCCAGCCGCACCTATCCCGGCCTGCCCCCTCCTCGTCCGTCCCTGCCGCCCTGCCTGTCTCCCGCCCCCCGTGCGAACCCTGTTCCGGCCCCACCCTGCCTGCCCGGCCCCCATCCCGCCCAGCCGCCCCGCTCGGGCTGCAGCACCACGGAGAGCGCCCGGAGCCTCGGCCCGGCCCGCCCGGGGGAACCGCCCCTGGCCGGGCCGCGGAGGCTCGGCGGGCCCCGCGGCTGCGGCCAGGCCGCCCTTGTGTGCGCAGCGCTGCGCCCTTGCTCACCATTTCCTTTCGGGAATAAGCTCCTGTCACTACAGACATCCAGTCGCAATCCTGTCCCCTGCTCACCAACGCCCCTACGCAGGCACGGAACCGAAGGCCCAGAAGTGAAACATCTTAGAACGGCACCGGGTCCCGGGACCGCCTTCCTGCTTTCCCAGCGGGCAGGGCCTCTCGGGAGGGTGGATGGGCCTTGCATCTCGATACACCTGTTCTCATCCTCTGCCTGCACCTCGGCAGGGAGCCAGCACGGCGTCTGCCCCACCTCAGCTCACGTGCTGGTGTCTGTGCACGGGGATGTTTCTCTCCCCAGACTCACTTCTAGACTTTACTCTTTTCACTTAAGGAACAAACATAGTTTAGTTTTCAGTGTTGTCATTAGAGCCTCAAAAGAGAAAGCTAGCCTTATGTTCATGTGCTGGGTGATGCTTCGCTCAAAGGTGCTCTTCATTGACTTCAAGGAAGCTCAAGAAGCAAACACTGGTGGGTTACCTGTTCTAGGGAAGCACACACAGAGTGAGAGCATCACAGTTAGCAATATTATGCTGCAAACAGCCCCACACAAGGAAGAACAGTGGTGCCAATACCCTGCTTTTCCTACACCCAAGTAGTGTCCTCCAAATTGCAAGCTGAAAATCTGCCCTGTGGCCTGTCTGTCTGGAAGCAGTGTGGGAGTCTGGTATGCCTGAAAGCTCTTAACAGTAAGGCTAGTGATCCCCTGGGAGAGGCAGATGAGCTCCAGCTGGACAGTGAGATGAGAAGGTAAAGGTGGAGCATCCTTCTCTTTGTGCCAAGGTCCTGGATACTGGCTCTTCTAGGCCAGCAACTGCTTCCAGGCCTATGAGGTGTACAAACAGGTCCCATCACTGCCATATTTCCAGCAATGTTTCAATTAACCTCCACCACATTTGTTTAGCGGCTGCCAGTTATGTTGCTGGCTTTCCTCTTGCCAGGGATAGAGGATTCTTAAAATTAGTGTAGGGAATTCTTAGTATGAATAGGGTATAGGGTATATTCATCCCCTTTCACGTAGTGACCATATCAGACCTCATCCTGAACACTTTAAGGGACTCAAGCTCACATCTTCCCAATGACTCAGCATAATGCATCAGGAAAGTAGTTACTGACTTCTGTCCACATTAATTCTGTTCCAGGATTTCCAGAGCCCTTTGAGAGGGTAAACAGGTCCATCTGCCATTTCCCAAGGTTAAGAAAAGTTTAAGAAAAGTTTGACGGGACCAAGGTTAGGTCTGGGGACAATAAAACAGGTACTAAAATGCAGAAACATTCAGTATAAAACAATTGTATATGATATCTGTGTACCTTTGCATTAGGCAAAAATAACCTGAGCAACTGTTTTACTGGAATGGTCTAGGAAATCCCTTGCAATGGTTCCTCTTCTTGTTGTATCTTTGGAATGAAATATGTTAAAGTGAATTTGTGCATGTTTTACAGGTAGCAACAGCAGAGCCTTCAACACCAATAGGCTTTTTTCATGTAAGACATAAAACATTTGACATGGAATGTACTATTAACGCCAGACCGAGGGGGGAGAAGCATCCAAGGACTGATTTCCATTTCAAACTGCATTCTGGCACTTTGTACTCCGGCACTATTGGTGGATCAATATTTAATGCCCGGAGATTCTGGCTCTGCAGGAGTCATGTCAGGGGACCTCTCGAGCCAATCTGCTTGGGTAGAGGAGTGATAATTATTCATGGGCTCCTGCCTCTTGCTCCTTCTCTTGCACAGCCCCACTCTGCTGACTCAGTGCCTTATTCAGTCTTCTCTCCCTCTCTCCACTGCTGTAGCTGGACCCTTTTGCCTTCACCGCCTCTGAGAGCTGTACATCCCAGCATGGCTAAAACAGCAATGGGTAAGAAAACGCCTCTCTTTTCCTTCAGCCAGTACTACAGCCACTATCTCATAGGTCTGCTACCTGCACTGGGTGTTCTTCTCGCTATCCCAAAAGTTTAGGAAAAAAAAAATCAAGAGAACACTGAACATATTTTTAATTTCATTGATCAGGGGAAAAAAGGGAGGCTGGGTGGGACCTGGGGCTGTTTTAGTATCCTAACCAGAGATCAGGATTAATTGTATACCGATGGGTGAGGTCGGCACATGAGCACAGCACAATTTTGAAACGGTTTTCATTATTTTAAAGATGAAAAGATATTTTTATATATATATATGCACATATAGATATTTTATATATATATATTATGTATATGTATGTATATATGTGTATATGTATATATATACATGTGCATATATATACATGTGCATATATATATATGTGCATATATATATATATATATAAAAGAAAGAAAATAAAACCAAAAACGAACGGTAAAGTTATCCCTGTGCCTCCACCCGTCCCCGCCGGCCGGAGTCAGCGCTCCCCTCTGCCTCTGAAACCGCGTGGGGAGAAGAAAGGAGGAACCGAGCAGAGGCACCGCTGCCCGGAGGGGCTCGGCGCGGGTCGGGGGCTGCGGGCCGGCGGGGTCCCGCGGTGCCAGGAGGGGGGGCTGCGGCGGGGCGGACCCCGCCGGGCGCGCACTGCGGCCGGCCGCGCCCAGCCCAGCCCAGCACGGCGCGGGGCTGCGGGAGGGGGCGAGAAGGAGCCGCCGCTCGGCGTTGCCCCGGCGCTGCCCGCACCTGCAGTCTGCCGGGGGGGGCCGGGCGACCGGCCGAAGTAGGTCACTGCATCACGGAGAGCTGGTGTGCGCTAGCAGCGCCCGCCCCGCTCGCTCTCTCCCGGGGGGCAGCTGCCGGGGCTGTTGTTACCTCGTTTTTTCCAGCGGCAGGGAGAGCATCCCCCCCTCTCCCGCAGGAGCCGCGCCCTGCCGCCGCGGCGCGCCGCCCCCGCCGCCTCCATCCCGCCCCGCCGGGCCCGGAGCGACCGGGCGGGGCGCGGCTCCTCCGCCCTTCCCCGGCCCCGACCCCGGCCCCGGGGGGCTCCCGGCTCTTGGGGAGCCCGTTCCCATCGGGTCGCGGTTGGTCCTGCCGGTCCTGGCAGGAGCGAAGGGCGGTAGCCCGGCACCGGCCCCTTTGTTCGAGGGAGGCTGCTGGGTAGGGTGGGCGAAAAAAATCCCAGTGAGGGTGTGGAAGAAGGAGAGGGAGAGCAGTCGTGGGGTCGGGCTGCTGAAAGCGTCCAGACCCTAACGCTCCTTAGGGTTGGTTTTTGTTGTTTTGGGGGCTTTGTTGTGTTTTTTTGGGTTTTTTTTTTTGGTTTTTTTTTTGTATGTTTTTAAGAGGAATGAGGCTGGACCTGCGTTTGACGCATTCAAATTCAAGTTTTCACAATTATTAATGTCGTGCACACACAAATCCCACAAAATAAGGACGAAGGGCTCCCAACACAATTAGTGTCCTCCCCAAGAAGCAAATCCTGTTCAAATTTTCATTTGTGCAGATTCTTGTTATCACTCTTCATCGCTTTGCACGAAGTTACACCAAACCCTCCTGGCGCCGGCTGAAACCGATGCATTACACCAAAGCATTTATCTGAATGCTGATGTTCCTCTCCCAAGGAACAATTGCTGTGGATTGAAAGCATTCTAACCCGGCTGTGGCACCCTTGGGAACAAGGCATGAGACAGCTGTAGATGCAAACAGAGGAGGGAAGTGAGGGCTGTGGGAGCCTGGCCAGCCCTGCAGTGCCGAGCACGCCGTCCCCTCCCCACTGCAGCAATCCGGTAATCAGTATTGATAATTTGTAGTCGGTCTGGGACTTAGCGCTGCAGAAGGCCTGTCAGGAATTCTGTCACAAGGGAAGGAAGGGCTCCTCAACCTGGTGTTAATGATCCCGCAGCACACAAATATAAAGATTTCTGCGGCAGGAGTGATGCCAGGAATCATTAGGTTTACCCAGAGACTGAGGGACTGCGTGGCGCCAGTTTGTCTGTTAATCCCTGGTTAACGAGCCACCTATACCAGAAATAAAAAGCCATGCAGCCACCTAGCTCCAGTTTCCAAAAGTGCTAATTACGGCAACATTCAATTAGAAAATTAAAGTTACTTTATTAAAAACATATTCCATCTTTAAACTCACAAAGCTTAAAGGAGTCTCCTTACCATTTCTTTAAACTATATTCTTCCTTGTTATAGTTATAAATAGACAAAACTTGTATCTAGACAGCCTATTAGAATAAATCACTTTATTTCAAGAGTTACAACAAAGCAACAAATTTTATTTTCGTGTGGAAAAATTGATGCATTCTCAGTAAAGCACATTTCCAGTTAGGGGTAAATGAGCTACATTTGTTCTGTATTCAAACTTTACCCAGTAGAACACTGAAAGAACTACGGAGTGCCTGATTTTTTCCCCTGTTGAGCAGCAGATTTTACAAAGTGGCAATAAAGGCTAGGTCCTGCTGCCACTGGAGCCAGCAAAACATTTCTAATCATCTTAACCTAGCCCACTATTATATTTCTGGCCCTGATCCAGTAAGGCACTTACTCAGGTGTCTGAACATGTGAATAGTCCTACTGGCTTTGGACAGAACTCTTCACATAACTCAGGTTAGGCAGATACTAAATACCTTGAACAAGCCTGTGTTTATATTCTGCCACAGAAAGCAAAATTAAGCCTAATTTTCTATTAGGCTGTGTAAAATAGAAGGTTTTCAGGGAAAGCTTCTTCTACTTATGTAGGAATTTCAACAGCTGTGAGATCTTCTGGAGATCATTACACTCTGAATGCCCACAAGATTCTTCTTTCTGTTTAGTTTACAGAGCATATGAATGATGCATGCCACACAAGCATCTTTGTTCGGTTGTTTTTTAAGTGTGTCTTTTTTTGAAATTCCATGTAACATGACTGTACAGAAATTCTGGGGGCTTTTAAACTTCATCCTCCTCCTGACACCACCTTCCACATGAAATATGTATTGGATAGAGGGGCTCCTTCATGCCTTAAGCTCCCAAGAAAACAGGACATATATTATATAAATCAGGGCCTTTGCAGGTAGGGTCACTACAGACCAATCAGGCCACGTGTCTGGTTTGATAAATTTACTTAGTGTAAGGTACATAGATGGCAGTGTGAAGGTGAAGAGGTCTGTGATATCACTGGAACTAAAAAAAGTGTTTGAAACCATTATTTCTCTGTTTCATTGTGACATTTTATTTAAAGAATATTTATTACTTGAACACTCTCAGACAACCATCATAGAGAAAATCTCAGTCCCGATTATGGTTCTGGTTTATTTTGTAGGAAATTAGCAGAAATACATGGGATATGTGTTAATAGTGTGTTACGGAAGTGTTTTAATGTCAACTCCTTTTGAGATAGTCAGGAACAATGTAAGGTGATAAATGGGTAGGATTATGAGGATGCAGGGGTTCAGTCCCATGCTCCCTCTTTCACATATCTGAGTAAGACTAATTAAACCATTGTAGAAGTGCTTCAGACTTGCTCTTCTACTTTGTCATTCACATTTTGGTTATAAGCTCAGACTTCGACACTTAGCTTGGTGGATGCAAGGCCACTGCTAAGTTTTTCTATTAACTGAGTACTACATTACTGTTTTATCTGGTATGTAACATTCATATGAATTCATAAATAAGTGTATGGTTGTTGGGTTTAACTGGTTTCATTATTTTAATAAGTAGCCTTTTTTTACTGCAAAGGGGTAAGAATTCTGCCCCTGATCTGCCACTAAACAATTGCTTGATTGTCAGCAATTACACATGAGTAGTCATCTGAATATCAGTGGCAATGGCAAGCTTCAAGTTGAACAACATATGGCTAAGTGCCAGGCTGAATTTGGGCTGAACATACTTCTTTCCATATTATTCAGTTTTTAGCAGAAGGTTTTAACCTTCCCCTTTTACAAATAGATGAGCACATGTCAGCTCTGAATTATTTCCAACTGCCAGAAAATTACATGTCTAAAAAAAAATAGGAAAAAAATAAAGAAATTACTTTATGAGAAGAATGGACACAGGCAAGAATCAGAGAGTTTATTGTATCATAATGTTGGAGGAAAAGTGATTTGACTGAGATACCACTATTGCAAATTCTTTTAAGAGCTAGGAGAAGAAATTACAGAATATGCTGAGATGGAGGAGACCCATCAGAGTCACTGAGTCCAGCCCCTGGCCCTGCACAGGACCATCCCCAAGAGTCACACCATGTGCCTGAGAGCACTGTCCGAACACTTCTTGAACTCTTGTCAGGCTGGTGCTGTGACCACTTCCCTGGGGAGCCTGTTCCAGTGCCCAAACACCCTCTAGGTGAAAAAAAACCCTTTTCCGAATATCATTTTGATGTGATAAGGAAACTGAAGTAATAACATTTCAGTTACTTTATTTCTTTCTGAGAACTTTTATTACAGAGCTAATATAAAAATGTAGGTAAGTAAAATTCACTAAAGAGCTGATGTTAACACTTATTCATATTTTTTTTCTTGGTTTTTAAAGACTAAATTACTCTTCCTGCTATTGAGAAAGCAGGAATCATTTTAAAAACAGTCCATATGGCTAAGGATTTCTATTGCCTCATAGCAGTTCTTTACTTGCCCTGTGAGGTGTACAGACAGGAGGGATGGAACGTCATCTATTCCATTTTCTTATGGAAGATATCCCATAACACACTGAGGAAATAAAAATAAAATTCAACAGCTTGAACACTTCCAAAATGTTCTCTCACCTCCACCTCCATTACCATCATCTCTTTGTCCCAATATAAGCTCTAGTTAGACTAAAAACTTCCCTGTTTAATAATGTATTCCTGTAATTCATTCACACAGACTTAGTGAATTTGAATTTTCTTTAATTTATTATTTAAGACTAGAATTTTTTAAATATTTTTTATTGTTATTTGTCCTACAATAGTACATTTCTCTAGATCACATTTTGCACACCTATTTT